ATTACTGGTATCTGCTCACTTCTTGGAAAAGAATCAATGCTGGCAGTGGATGTTTCAGAAACAAGTGCAAAGGACTGATTGATGTTTGTGCCACAACAGGTACAAAACTGGTGCAGTTTGCTTTTTGTTCAGGGCCATGTTTACTACTCTGAAATGTCCTATTTTCTGTATTTCAGCTCCAAGACTGAGATGCTGTTATTTAATGAACAGTAAATGGTAAACTTCGATGTTTTCTTAATATAATAGTCAGGTTTGATAAAGGCGTACCCCAGTTAAGTATGTTTCTCTTAACTGATTCTAATCATGGGCTTTTTATGTGGTTAAAAATAAAAAAATTTCGAAAATGTCTAAAGCATATGGACAAAAGAATCCAGACTTATACCCTCTTTAAAGCCATTTTTACCAGTTTTTTTGGTTTTTATGCTTTCTTAAATAAAACACTGCATGAATTTCAAGTTGCATATTTGCATACTATTTTATTTTTTGTTTGCATACTATTTTAATTTGCAAATTATATTTTATCAAAAATCTTGATATTTAGTTTTCTTTTTTTCAGGGTGTTTAACTATGTTACTGTAGTAGTAAAACCTTTTCATTTTTAAAATCTCTACTACTAATTTTAAACTTGGTTTGTATTAAGTAAAAGTTAAATCATACACTGCAAGGTGTAGGAGGATTTGTTTTAACGAACTCAATGATAGGTTTGATTACTAAGTTTGAACTGTTAACTGTTTAACAATTTTAGACTTGTGGCTTTCTTTCTTCGGTTTGTTTTTGCTTTTACTTCTATGCTACACTAGTTCGCCATGTAGCAATTGCACTGTGCAATATTACAATAAGGACTGGGAAAATTTTTATGGATGTAATGTCTATTACGGTTTGCGATAGTATTTCTCTCTAGTTCTCAGTGATTTAAATGTGACCAAGCCTTCTGTACTTTGTCACAAAAAGCGGGTTTTCCAGGTGACTATTTTGGTGAGTGTCAAAATAAGAATTTATGGTGTATTACTGTCGATTCACTTTGAATTAAAATATATATATTGCAGCAAACAGCTTGTTGACTTTGTTTCCACACCTGTCCTGCTTACAGGATAGGGAAGGAAAAGGTTGGTAGCATTGAGTACCTAACTTACATCATCTCGTTTAATTCTCAAAACCATCTGTGGGATAGGTATCATTGTCTTCATTATATAAATGAGGAAATAGGCTCAAAATACCTAGGTAAGTTGCCCAAAGTCGCACTGCTAGTGAGGGGCGAATCTGGGATGTGAACCTGGCTATTTAACTGTAACCAATCTACTTTCCACCAGTTCTTTTAAACTGAAGTCAGAGGCAGTATGCGAGACGGACTGCAACCGGATAACCGTGGCCCATTTCATTTGAATATTATTGTCTTGAATATTTTTGAGGTAAACATTTCTGTTCAGTATGCATGGATGAACAATAGAGAATTCACATGAATTTTTAAGAGATAAAACATGAGACTTCAAAAGAATGTGGTTGTAATAGGCCAATTTAGGTTATGCCCTCACATAACCACCTCATACTTAAACGGTCTGACTTTACAGGAGCATCGGTAGGAAAGTTTTGGGGGAGCACTCCAGAACACGCCAAGGAGAATATGTATTCTCAGGTTCTCTCAGTAAACTTTTAATTGAAGTATAACATATACATTCTGTTATCTGGCTTCTTTCGTTTGACATTTTGTTTGTAAGGTACATCCATGTTGTGTGTGGTTGTGGTTCATTTCTCTTCATTGTTTAATATTTCTTTGCATATATAATTATTTATCTGTTTTGTTGATAAACTTTTGAGTTGTTCCCACTTTTTGGCTATTATAAATATGAACATTTTCGTTCATATCTTGGTGAACACGTATGCATTTCTTTGCAGTATATATGCAAGTATAGAATTATTGGGTCATAGGGTATATACTTGTTTCACACTATTAGATAGCTACAAATAGGATTCCAAAGTGATGAAAGAATTTACACTCGCCAGCAGTGTATGAGAGTTCCAGTTACCCTACATTCTCATACATACATTTTGTGTTTTATTTTAGTTATTCTTATTGGGTGTGTTTTTCAAAATATTGTAAACATTTTCATTTAGCCCAAAGCATTGATCCTACATACAAATGAAATGCATATTTTGCAATTTACTTGAAAGTCAAATGGCTTCATAAGAAAACTAAGAAGTATTCACCTATTTAAATGGACTTAGGAATATAAAATATTATTTTTTCTAAAGAGATGAAAGAAACCTTTGAGCAACACATATAAGCCATTCAGCTAATACCTAGCACAGTGCCTGGCACATAGTGGGCATGTCACGAGTCATTCAATGATATTTATGAAGCATCTATCATGTTCCAAGCACTATATGCTGGGCATAATGGACATAACAGAAGGTTCTTTTGCTTTTATGGATCTTTCCTTGTAGAAAGGAAAGATTTAAAGTCAGTTCAATTAGGGTAAGTGGAATGAAAATAGAGGATACTGATTAAGTGACTGGAGAGGGCATGTCAAGGAATGGTGACATTTCAGTTGTGACAAAATGCTAGTCAGCTGCGCAAGGGAAAAGTATCTTTGCAGAGGGAGCAGCAAGTTCAAAGGTCCTAACTCAGGAAGGGGCTTTTAACGTGGGCAAACAGGAAAGTGGTCTGTGAGGCCACAGAAGCGTGTGAGTGGGGAGCAGGAGTGGGAGCTAGAAGGTATAATTCGAGGGGTGAGCATGCAGGCCTTTTGCCAAGAGAAGAATTCTGGATTTAATCCCATATATTATAGAAGCCAAGGGAGGATTTTCAAGAGGCAAACAACTGACCTGGCTATCACAGAAAGCAATCAGAGAGCCAGAGGGAAGCTGGAAGACAGGTAGGAGGTTGTCGAAAGTAGTCCAGGTGAGAGATGATGGCTGCCAATTCTTTGTCAAGTCATTTATATTACAAATATTTTCTCCCAATTTGTGACTTGTCCTTTTATTTTCTTTACAGTATTTAAAAGAGTGAATTTTGAATTTTAATGGTCTAGTTTATCAGTATTTTCTTCTGTGGTTTGTGCTTTTGTGCCCTAAGAAATTTTTGCTTATCAGTTTCAAAGACTATTCTTTGCTAGTTTTATAGTTTTAGCTTTTATTAGGTCTGTGGTCCATTTCATGTTAATTTATATGTCCACTTTTATTTTTATGACATTTTATCTCATTGAGAACCTATACTTTCCCCTAATTAGAAGTATGATCATTTGAAATAGAAAAATAAGATGTTAATATTTCATATTTTTCCGTCATAAAAATAATGGTTACGATATATTAGAGAAATGCAGAACAACAGATTTTAAGCAACTCACAAAAATGTAAATGTTCAGGTAATTAGAATAATGTAAGCTATTTTAGATCCTAATATTTTCTACCTCAGTTTATAGCGTAAGCATTGCGCAATCTAGTACAAACTTCGGAAACATTTTGAATGCCAAAATGTGAAAGTTAGAGGTGATGTGCTTTATTCTAATCATTGCTTGTTTCCTTAGTGACTATGAAGAATTCAAATAACTCACTTTTTTCTTATCACATCGAAATTTTATACTTTGAATCAACTTTTTATTTTAAAAAAATATAGGAAAAAGGTAGTACAACATATATATAATCTTCACCTAGATCACCAGTTAACATTTGCCACATTAACTTTATATTTACATGTAATTTTAAAAAGTGAACCATTTGTTGGATAATCGTGGCACTTGGTCCCTAAATACTTAAGCATGTATCTGTAAGAATGACATCTGCAACTAACCACAAAACTTTGTAACACCTAGAGAAACGAAGAATTCTATAACATCTAATTTCCAGTTCATAGATTTTCCTGATTGTTTCAAGAATGTCTTATAGCCATTCTCCCCTCCCCCATCCTCACTCCAGAAACCAATCAAGATTCACCCATAGCATTTAATTATGTGACTCTTTGACTACTTATTACCTGACATCATTTTTCTATAAAGAAGAATAAAGAAAGGCTTCTGGCTTTCTCCCAGTGCTCACTTGAGTGCATTCCATCCCTCTCATCCTCTGTCTCTCTCTCTCTATTATGGATTTATGAATCTTGCTAATTCAATAACTTAAAGTTACTAATTAATGACTCCCGAATCCTTTTGACATCACTACGTTAGTCTCTGAATGTTTCCTTGTTTTCTGGCCCAATAAGGTGTCTTTAGGTTCACCTTACGTTTTTCCTGTTTTGGATCTGGACTTGGCCATTTCTCCAAAAGCCCCAATTTCACAGGACCCAGTTTTAGTAATGTTTATGTCCAATACAAAAGTGATTCCTTTCTCTTTTGTAGTGCTGTCCAATTATGGTGTTATGGGTGTTGCTGACCAAGATTAATACCTACTCTGACTTTAGGTTTACTCCCTTATCCTCATTATTCAAGCTCATATCTGACTTCTCTTTTCTGCAGAGAGATGTCGTTTGCCCAGCAACTGCTGCCCACGTCCTTTAACCATCTTGTGACTATTATTGATCTTGACTCCCTCGTAGCCTCACACATTGATTGCAGATGAACAGGGAGGAGGATGAGTGACTATTTAAGAGGGCATGCATGGAAGAAGAATTCATCTAATAAATGCTGTGTTTACTGCTGTTTC